ACAAACTAAGGAGTGGCGAAGGGAATGGTCCTTACGGAAGGCAGAGAGGGATGGGGAGTGGAAGATGTTCTGGGCGGTGGGGACTAATTGGAATTGGCGGAAGCGTTTGAGAATGATACGTTGGATGGTGGGGTGGAAAGTGAGGTCAAGGGGGTCCCTATCTTTATTATGTTTGGAGGGGGTTTGGTGGTTAAGAGCAGTAGACCATGGAATGGAGGAGGCACGGTGGAGGGCTGTCTGGATGACAGAGGGAGGAAGAACATTGTTTGGAAAAGGAGGCATCCAGGATGCTTGGGAGTGGAATGTTTCCTCATCAGAGCAGATGCGATGGAGTTGGAGAAATTGGGAAAATGGGATGGAGTTTTTGCAGGAGATAGGGTAGGAGGAGGTGTAGTCCAGGTAGCTACAGGAGTCTGTGGGTTTATCGTAAATGTTGGTCCATAAACTGTCGCCAGAAATGGAAATGGAAAGGTCAAGAAAGGGGAGGGAGGTGCCTGAGATTGTCCAAGTGAATTTGAGGGCGGGGTGGGAGTTGTTAGCAAAAGCGATGAACTGCTCCAGTTCAGCCTGGGTGCGGGATGCAGCACCGATGCAGTCAACGATGTAATGGCAGAAGAGTTGGGGAACAGTGCCAGTGTACGAACTGAAGATGGACTGTTCGAGATAACCTATGAACAGGCAGGCGTAGCTGGGGCCCAAGTGAGTGGCCATGGTAGCCCGCTGGATTTGGAGAAAGTGGGAAAAATTGAAGGAAATGTTATTGAGGGTGAGGACTAGGTTGGCAAGGCAGAGGAGGGTATTGGTGGGGGTGGGCGTGGGTGGTGGGGGGTGGATCTGATGGGTCTGTTGGAGAGGGAAAAGCTGGGCCCTGTCGGGGATGAATGTGTGTAGGGATCGCACACCCACAGTAAAGATGAAACGCTGGGGGCCAGAGAAGTGGAAGTTTCCAAAGGGGTGGAGGGCATGGAGGGCAAGGGGAGAGAATGGAGTCGAGGTAGGAAGAGATGGGTTTAATGGGGCTGGAGCATGTGGAGACAATGGGTTGCCAGGATAGTTGGGCTTGTGGATCTTGGGGAGCAGGTAGAACCGGGCAGTGCGGGGATGGGAGCCTATTGGGCTGGAGGTGGTGGGGGGAGGTCAATGAGGTCATGGACAGTGTAGGAGATGGTGGCTTGATGGGCCACGGTGGGGTCATGGTCAAGGGGGTGCTAGGACGTGGTATCGGAGAGTTAGCATTTGGCCTCTGTGACATAGAGGTCTGTCCTCCAGAGTACCACCACCCTGCCTTTGTCAACAGGTTTGATAGTGAAGCAGAGATTGGTGCGGAGAGAGTGGAGCACTGCACATTCGGAGAGAGAGAGGTTGCAGTGGGTGATTGCGGGGAATGGTGGAGAATTCGAGGCAGTTGATGCTAACTGCCAATGCAACAGTGAAGAGGTCCAGAGCGGGTAAGAGGCCGGCAGGGGCTGTCCAAGTGGAGGAGGAAGGTTGGAGGCGGGAGAAGGGGTCCCCGGAGGGTGGTTGGGCGTCTCTATCGAAGAAGAAGGCATGGAGGCAGTGGAAGAAAAATTCCACGTTGTGGTACTCTCCCCTGTAACTGTCCAAGATACCTGTCCACACACCACCCCCCTCACCTCCATCCAGGTCCCTAAACAGTCCTTCTAGGTGAGACAGAGAGCTTCACCTGCATCTCCTCCAACCTAGTCTATTGCATCGGGTGCTCCCGATGTGGTTTCTATGTCAGTGGGACCAAACGTAAAAGTGACTGTTTCACCGTACATCTTCACCTGACCCGTAACGGCCAACCTAACCTCCCGGTCACCACCCATTTCAACCCCCCTACTCTCCCTCCGACATGTCCGTTCTCAGCCTCCTCCAGTCCTTCATCGATTCAGAATGTAAATTTGAGGAACAACACCTTATCTTCCATCTGGACACTGTACGGCCTGGAGGACTCTACATTGAGTTCTCTCATTTCAAATAACCTTCTCACCCATCCCCTGCCTCCCCTTCCAGCCCCACCTCCTCCCTTCCATTCCAACTATTAACCCTCCCTTCCACCCACCAACTGGATTCAACCCTCCCATCAACCAACTAAGTTGTACATACTACCAGTGTCCACCTATCATCACCATTCCACTACCCCCCCTCCGCCCTTATCTGCAGATCCTCCTACCCCCACATCCAGTCCTGAACAAGGGTAATACCTGAAACGTTGACTTCTCCTTTCCTCCAGATGCTGCCTGGCTTGCTCTGTTCTTCCAGCCTCCTGTTTGTTTACCTTTGTACAATAACATCACTGAACAGACTGATTGAAAAAAAGATCAATTTTAAAAGTTATTCCAGGTAGGCCCTCCTGTAGCACAGCGGTATTGTCTACACCTGGAATGGGAGGCCCAGGTTCAAGTCCCACCTGCTTTAGAGGTGTGGAAAAACATCTCTGAACAGGTTGATTAGAAAAATAGTTTATCTTCCAGCTACATATTAAAGCTCTCATTGACTAATATTTTGTACTTCTTAATCTGATGAATCCCAATAGGATGATCTCCTAATTATATCATTTGCTGATTCATTCATTCAAATCCTTCTTATTCAATTCTGCATCATTATGTACATCATTGGTTGTAAGTGACACTGGTTTCATTATTCTAATTTCAGCACAGGACTGATTTTCATTAAAGGCTAAAGACCCCAAAGCCCAGAAGAGTTCCACCTCCCAACTAATGCTATGTTGCTTTGAAATGTTAATGCCCCAATTTTGCAGGAGGTGAGCTTAGCACTTTATTGGTGGTGCTGAATACCCCCAAAAGATGGGAGCTGTCTGTCTAATTCCAGCAGCAAAAGCAGATGGTATCCATGGTTAATTCACTCATGGGATGAGGACATTTCTGGCTAGGCCAGCATTTATTGCCCATCCCTAATTGCCCAGAAGGCAGTTAAGAGTTAATCACATTACTGTGGGTCTGGAGTCACATGTAGGCCAGACCAGGCAAGGATAATGGATTTTCTTCTCTAAAGGACATTAGTGAACCAGATGGATTTTTCCCAACAATCGACAATGGATTTATGGTCATCGTTAGACTCTTGATTCCAGATTTTCATTGAATTCAAATTCTACCATCTGCCATGGCAGAATTTGAACCCAGGTCTCCAGAACATTGGGTGAGTGTCTGGATTAATAGACTAACAAAAATACCACTGGACCATTGCCTCCCCATATGGTGATAATGAATAGAGTAGCTTCTTGGAAGGCCAGCAGTTTTAAGAAGAGGAAAGTGGCCACTCACACAAAGTAAATGCATGGTGCCAGACCCAGCATGAAATGCACCATGGATCAATACTTTTCATCCCTTTAAAACAAACTTTCACTTCTTGACATAATGCACCTGGCAGCTGGTAACATTCTCTCGGTTTCTTTCACCTTTTAAAAGCCTGGTCCTCAACCTCAAAGGTTTGATTAGAAGCCATCAGAGAACTTAATAATCCATTATTTAGAGGCATACATTCCCCTTCCCCACCCTCCATTTGAAAATCATAGTGTATGTTGGAGGCGCTGAGATCCAGAGACAATTTGGGTACCAGTTTTTAAATTGCATCCTGACACGATCCTGACCTTGTCAGCAAACAGAAATCCAGTTTCCAGTGGGTTTGTTATGAAGCAGGTTTTGTTATTCACCCACTTTCCTGTCCTAATTTTGAAGGTTAAAAGGAGTTTTCAGAGGCACTGTAATCTCTAGGGGCTCTGTTAGCGTAAATAAGGAGAAACTGTTTTCAGTGGCTGCAGGACCAGTAGCCAAAGGTGGAGAAGATAAGAATATATTTTTCATGCACCCTGTTTTTATGATGTTCTGCCTGAAAGTGTAGAGGGAGCAGATTCAATAGTAACTTTCAAACTGGAGAAATTATTGAAGGGGAAAGGCTTGCTGGTCTTCAGGGAGACAATGGAGGAGTGGAATTAATTGAACAACTCTTTCGAACAGACACCACGTCTAAATGGGGTCCTTCTGTGCTGCATCATTCTGTGAATTCGGTATCAGAATGTTGAGATTAAAGTGTACAAGCCAGAACAAATGTTCTTGCTTATCCTTTCTAATTTGAAATTGTATAATTTAATGTCCCTAATAAATTATTGGATCCTCCAGTTTCGTAAAGATAGAGCTTTGTTAGAAGTGTGATGGATAAAATTAGATCTAATTTCTGAGCTTATCCAGGTCTTAGAGTGACCTATTAACCCACAAGAGACAAGCAATGCATTGCAAAGCCCTCTCCAAAGCCGGAAGATTTTTAATGAGCCTCCTATTAAGTTAGGCATTCTGGATTATCAAGGTACCTGAGTTTTTTTCCTTATCACAGTTATGTTTCATTTAACTATTTTCAGCTGCATCTTTCATGTGCATTTTCTGCAAGGTGTAGATTGCGCATTGTAAATCATGTAATTTGCGCATACTTTAACATGTTGCAAATTGTAAATCAAGATTAAAGGGTAATTTTTTTTCAAAAGAAGCAGACAATTAGAAGGGATGCATCTGTGAAGGGTATATCTTGCTTCAGCGGTTTTTTTATTTAAAGGGTATGCATCATTGCAATGGTTTATTACTTAATTAGTTTGTACCATTTTAAAGGGGCTCTACTATGTAAAACAATTGTGTCATCGCAATTTTTTTTAATTTAAGGGATTTATGCCATTTCCAGTTTATGTATTGAAAGGATTTGTTTAGTTTAAGGGCTTTGTGCTGTTACATTATTTAAAAAGGTTGTATCATTTAAAGGACATTTTTAAAATGGATGCAGAATGGGTGCAAAGGGGGTTGTGCTGTTTCAAAAGTTTGTTTTGTTTTATGTATTGCTGTTGTTAAAAGGCTTTGGCTTAAAGGATGTTTATTGCTTCAAAGCTACGCATTAAAGGTTAAATATCATTAAAGTATGTGTGCAAGCAGGAGCTTTATAGATTGGAGGAGATGAAGCATCTAAATGCCACATGTATGTTGTTTTCCCTTTAGATCTTGAACACGTCTGTTGCTGACGGCTCTACAGCTGTCACAATGGTGTATGCGGTGAGAAATGAAAGTACGCTTCTCAACGGCACAATGTCCAGCAGCCTTTTGCATCACTTGACAGCTGCTGAGCTTGGATACTACCTGGCTTACCCACCACTAATCCTTGCTGAACGTAAGTGTCCTCTATCACGTCTCACTTTGCTCTGTATTTGAAACACAGCGTAGCAAACAGGGTGATGAGGAAGAGGAGCAGCTGATTGATCCTTCTGGGAGAGAGGTGTGGCGGGGAGTTGAGGCTGATAAATGATATGGAGGGGTTACGAATGATTTGATTTGATTTGATTTAATTTGATTTATTATTGTCACATATACTAAGGTACAGTGAAAAATCTTGAACGAAAACAGAAGTAGCAGGAAAAGCTCAGCAGGTCTGGCAGCATCTGTGAAGAAAAAAATCAGGGTTAATGTTTCGGGTCCGGTGACCCTTCCTCAGAATCTTGTTTTGCATGTCAACCAGACAAATCATACTTTTCAGAAGTCCATCAGGGTAATAGAATAGGCTGCAAATTAAAGTATTACAGTTACAGAGAAGGTGCAGAGAAAGATCAACTTTAATACATGAGGGGTCCATTCATAAGTCTGATAACAGCAGGGAGAATGCTGTTCTTAAATCTGTTCTCAAACTTTTGATTCTTCTGCCTAATGGAAGAGGGTGGAAGAGAGTATAACCGGTGTGAGAAGGTTTTTGACTAAGCTGGCTGCTTTTCCGAGGCAGTGAGAAGTGTAAATGGAGTCATTGGAAGGAAGGCTGGTTTTTGTGATGAAAGACAGGGCCCTTACATTTGTCTATTATCTTACACAAACCTCAGGATGTCCCAAAATACTTATGAACATACAGGTTAGGGCAGAAGCAGGATCAGGCCATTTGTACACACAAGCCTGCTCCATTATTCCATAAGATCACGGCTAATCTGATGACTCCATATTTTTGCCTACCCCTGATAACCTTTCACCCAGTTTTTCTTCAAAAACCCTACCTATCTCTGCCTTAAAAAATTATTCAAAGACCAGGAACGTCTCCTGCATTTACAGCCTGTATTGACATGTGTATCATTGCATGATAACTCAACCTGTTTGTCTGTGTTATGAACATTCCTTCCTTGGCTGTTAAATTCTGGTATGGTACTTGAACCTGAAGCTTCTGGCCCAGAAGCAGGGATGCTACCCATTACAGCAGGAAATAGTAACAGACTTTTAACCTAATTTTTGTGATTGATGTAAATTGTTTCCCTCCACTGCTACCTTATGATTTGCGCAATGGGTTTTGTCAAACAGGCCCAGTAATACAGTTCAGTGAGCTTTTGATTGCATGGAGAGGGGGCTTCTAGTAACAGTTGTAATACTGTTCAGTTGATTTACTGAAGTAAATGTGTGCTCGAAGATAGTGGGAAATAAGATTTGAGTTTAGTAAGTCAAGGAGTGGTAATTGAGGCTTTTCAAACATTGGAAGAGTGTGATGGGGCAGGCAGGCATTCCCCCCTCTGGTGGAGGAATAAAAACTGAAAAGACAAAACTGGAACCACCTTATTTAGGTGAAAATCCAGGGCTCATTTTCAAATGAAGAGCTCCAGAAATCTGGCACATGGTCACCCACAGAAGGCTTCAGTTCCTTAGGATCGAAAGGATAATTATCCTGTTACCACTCCCTTTAGCCTTGCACCATTGAGCCATTCATTTAATCTCTCTTGTTTTTTTGTTCTTTAACCAATCCTTCACATCTTCATTTGCTTAAAACCTAATACATCCCCAATTATTTACAATTCTGATGAAAGGCCATCAATCTGAAGGGTAAACTCTGTTGCACCTTCCACCAATTCTGCCAGATCTGCTGTACGTTTCTAGCACTTTCTGTTTAATTTTCAGATTTCTAGCATTGATGACATTTTGCTGCTGTATCAATGAATTTTCGTTGGGTAAAGGGATATGGGGTTGAGATAATGAATGGAATTGAACATAGAACTTGTTTAATTGAATAGCAGAGGTAGTTCTAGGGACTGAATAACTATGTTTCTATAATTGGCTCACTCTTCCTCTTTCTCTCTCTCACTGTACCCAAAGCATAAAGTCAATCCATTAGCAACAAATACAAATAAATTACATTTTCCAATCCATTTTCATTATTAATTTCTTTGAATGTAGTTAAGTACAAATCAAAATTAGAAATATCTGGTAGTGTTGGTGTGTTGGAACTCATGTGTATTGTCAAATACTGAATTGATAATTCAGGAAGAAGCTCATGAGATAAAATGATAGTTCATCATAGTTATTAAGCTGATATTTCTTATGGGAGTTCATACTCTGCAGGAGTTCCTTTTCATATATTTTTCCTAATCAACTAATGTGCATAAAGACTAAAACTTCTGGAAATTGAAATAGCTAAAGAGACAAAGGTGCTTGACTTTATTCATCATTTTTAAGTTAAGGTTTGCATCATTTGTAAAGACAAGATTTCTAATCCTGGTCAAAGTTTTCTTGATAGGACATGGGCAATTTATGGCACAGGATGAGATCATTCGGCCCATCTTGTTTGAGTCAGCTGAAGAAGAGCTATTCACACTTATCCCACTTCTCAACTCTTGGTCTGCAGTTCTGCAGTTGGGCTGCTTTATTTGCATATCCAAATTTTTTTTTAAATAAATTGATGGATCTGCTTCTAGCGAATCCCCTTGAGGGATTGAGTCTCAGACTCTGACGTACTCAGAAGAAAAAAGTTCTTTCCTCAGAGCATTCTAAAATGCTTCACATCTATTAAGTCATTATTGTTAACTGTGTTAACATAACAGCTGGAAGAGCAATAACTCATTATGGATGTTTTTCACACTTTGAATCCCTGCCTTGCTTAGTCAAGTCCATGATCTTTGACAAAAGATTGGTAGAAGAGACACACATATAGGGAAGGTATTTGGAGCTTTTGAAATGGAACTGTTATGAACCTTGCCTATACAGCAAGGCTAAATCTAGAGCATAGAATAACTGGGCTAATCACTCACAACTTCAGCAGCTACAGGATAGTCAACGTGAATTATGTTGGATGAGAAGAATGATGCAAGTCAACGTTAGCAGGACCAATGAAGCAATTATTGGAAACCAGAACCAATATCATTAATCTAAATAATAGAGGATGTTAGGCTCTAAGCTGTCAAATTCCGTCTGTTAATCTCTCTGAGTCTCTACCTCTCTTGTCTTTTGAAATACTCCTTAAAATTTATACCTAATACCACCTTTTCTAATATTTCCTTCTTGGGTTTGAGGACAAGTTCTTCTTTGAATATGGACTCCTGTGAAGCATCTGTAGATGTTTTCCGATACTAAAGGTGTTCTCAAAGTTGATGGGACATGCCACGTTTTATTTTGTGCCTTCCTGACTTGGAATCAGTGCTGTTTGTAAATAATCTTTCAGGGTAAGTGTCTCAGGAGGGGGCTGTGAAAAGCTCTTGATCCTCATTTTATGAGAACTTTGGAGCTGCCTGCTAAATTATTTATAGAAAGTTGTGCTTGATCCATCCAGGCCCCATGGATCTTCCCGCTGGAGTAGTTTCACATCTGGAAGCAACATGAGCACAAGAGTCCATGGGTCAGGAGTCAGCACTGTTTCTGAAAAGCAATATTACTTCATGCCTTTTCATTAGTTCAACACCTCATTAATCTTGCTGTGAGGACAGAAAAAAAACACCAATGCTAGCAAAAGTGATCCAGCAGAGGACATTAAATAACAAATGTGTATTTATATTGCAAAGCAAAATAGTCTGGAAATTTAAAATCTGAAATAATGAGAGAAGATGCGATAGTCTGTGGTACAGGCTATATCTGTGGAGAGAAACAGAATGAATATTTCAGGTTGACGACCTGTCATTATTAATTGTCACTTCCTGTTGTCCCCAATTCCTTGTCCTGCTCACCAACTGTGATGTCATTGCCACGAAGTCATCCCTGATAAGAACAGCCCAGCCTTGCCATCTTTCTGATTTCTGGGTGTACCACCACACCAGCTCCCCTTCTTCATGATGCATTGAGAAAATACCAAACCTATAAAGAATGTACGCTGCAGAAACAGGCCATTCAGCCCACCTGGTACATGACAGTTTGATATACAGTTCATTTATATTCATATTGTCGCAAAAAGGAGGAAAGGCCAGTTTGCCTCTTAGTGGCATTTCACCAGCAATGATGTTGATAGGCAAGACTCTTGTTGAAGTCCCACACAAAGCTTTTCCTTCATTCGACAGCTTTATGCACAAAACTATACCTCCATTCTGCTACTTTGCACAGAGCAAAAGCAGCTACTATAACAGTATTTTAAATGTGCTGGTGATATGTTATTAGTGTTTGTGAAAGAATTATCTTGTGCTTCAAGGATCAAATGTTTGTCATTATATTTAGGACCTTTTGACCATTTCCACTGTCTTTGGAAAAACAACAGTCTTATATTCAGTACATGTTAAAAGATATATTTAAAATGGCAGGGGTTCGATAATGAATCAGCCGGTATGAAGCCTCCTCATGGATTGTAGATCACAGCCAGTTTGTTGGATTACTTCACCCACTGATTGACAGCTCACACCCGTGGTGTTGAGCTGTCTCCAATGTATACGCTCAGCAAGCGATTGATTGAATCTTGCCTTCCTGTGGTGAGCTGCGAGAGCTGAAACACACAGACCTCATCCAGAGGATTTTAAACCTGAGATTAGATAGCTCCAGGAAAGGTGAGATGAAGGACATCAAGGAGATGGTGTTTAAATCAAACGTTGTGACACACTTGTGTGAAGCCTTTGCACTGTAAAGAAATGGGAGACAACTCCCATAAAGCTGAGGTGCTCAGACCAGGAATGAAATTGTGCAAAGTGGCGATGGAGTAGGGCTCCTGAGCTGGAGCTCCTCCACTCCAAATGCTTTTCTTTTTTTCTTTTTTTTCTCTTTTTTCCTTTCTACCTTCTATTTTCCTTACTTACCTCTTGATCTCGGATGGCATGAGCGGCAGACCTCACGCACTTTGAGGCAACCCAACGTGGACGAGAGTAGGCCTGGTGCGGACCTCAAGTGAGCCATTACACACTTGCCAGTGAGCCATTACACACTTCCTGATGAACCATTACACACTTCCCAGTACGCCATTACACACTTTGCGGAGCGAACACGGAACCTGGCATCGGAATTGGCAGCTGCTACATCGGTGAGGTAGGCCCGACGGTGAAAGATGGCGGCTGAGGATCGGTGACGTTGTCGTTGGTTGGGTTCAGTGCTGGCAGTGGTCAAGCAGTGGCAGAAGGGTGCAGTGTTGACATTGAGGTGAGCCCAGCTGTGCGAGATGCTTCTCTGGTATTGGTCGGTCCGGTGCAGGCAGAGGCGAATCGGGCCAGTGGTGAAAGATGGCGTTTGAGGAATGGCGACTTCATTGGTTGAGTCTGGTGCAGATAGCGGCGAGGCCGTCGAGGAGGGATGGTGGCACAGGTGCCATTGACCGGCTGGCCTAGGACTGATGGATTCTGTTTAAGCTCTAACTTTCTATTCTTTTCCCTGTATTCTTAAATTATTCAAAATGGCGTTGGATTGTGGTGACATTGGAAAAGCTTTTCACGATCTTACTGTTTTTCTCACTGTAAAATATGTGACAATAAAACATTCAATTCACAGGAAGATTGACCAGGCTGGGCTTTTTAAAAATGAACAGAAAGGTTTATCGACTGGAGGGAGGTTACAGAGATAGGGAGTGGTGAGGCCGTGTATTAAGTTTTTAAAAGGATTTTATACAGTAAAAAATAGAAAATGATTGGACATGCAGATGACACCAGAACAAGCAGATGTAACTATATGATAGTCACTAATAAATCCATTAGAGAATTCAAGAAAAAGCTCTTTACAGAGAATGAGAATCCTTCTGAAGAAGGCTCTAGGCCCGAAACGTCAGCCTTCCTGCTCCTCTAATGCTGCTTGGTCTGCTGTGTTCATCCAGCTCTACACCTTGTTATTTCTTTACAGAGAATGGTTAGAATGGGGAACTCACTGTCACAGGCAGTGGTGATGCATTTCAGGATCAGCAAGATAAAGTACATGAAGAAGAAAGAAAGAGAGGGATATTCTGATCAGGTGGAGGAGGCTCATGTGGAACATAAACATCAGCATGGCCCATTTAAGTGATTGACCTGTTTCTGTGTTGTTCTGTCTTCTCCATCAGAAGAAATAATGTCTTAAACCATAAGGTCATAAGATATAGGAGCAGAATTAAGCCATTTGGCCCATCAAGTCTGCTCTGCCATTCAATCATTGCTGATATGTTTCTCAACCCTGTTCCTCCAGCCTTCTTCATGTAACCCTTGATTCCCTTGTTTATTTAGCTTTGTCTTAAACACCCTCAATGTCTTGGCCTTCACAGCCCTCTGTGGTAATGAGTTACACAGATTAGCCACCTTTTGGCTGAATTTCTGCTGTGTCTCCCAAATTACCTGCAGAAACTCCTGCCATTGGTACTCCATCATCTTCCCTGCTAGGCTCCCCACCAGTCAACTCTAGCCAGCTCCTTCCTCATGTCTTTGTAGTTACCTTTATTCAATTATAATAATGTTATATCTGGTTCCAACTTCTCCTCTCTTTCAAACTGCAGGGTGAATTCTATCATGTTGTGGTCAGTGCCCCTAGGAGTTCCTTCACCTTAAGCTTCCTAATCAAGTCTGTCTCATTACACATCACTAAATCCAGAGTTACTTGTTCCCTAGTGGACTGTACTACAATCTGCTCCAAAAACCATCTCGTAGACATTCCACAAATTCCTTCCCTGGGATCTGCTACCAACCTGATTTACCCAGTTCACCTGCATATTGAAGTCCCCCATGATAAAGTGTAACAGAGCCTTTCTTACGTGCCTTTTCTAACTCCTGATTTATTTTCTGCCCGACATCCTAACCACGGCTGGGAGGTCTGTACACAACTCCCATCAGGGTCTTTTTTCCCTTTGCAGTTCCTCAACTCTACCCAAACCAATTCTACGCCTTCCTACTGAATATTGCTTCTTGCTATGGCTTCAATTTTTTTTACTAACAAGGCTACATCTTTCAGATTAGTTGGAAGTTAGATTTCTGACCCTCTCCATATTCTCTGTCTTATTACTTGTTCTGGGAACATTGATGACCTCTCCTGAGCAATCTGCCCCCTTTGATTAGTTTAGTCTTTGGGACCTCAAATTTGCACCATCAGTTTGTCTATCTTATTCCGAATTCTTCATGCATTAAGAATCAAAGCCTTTTAAGTTAATTGTATTATCGAGTTTCCCTATACTTTTATGGTCCCTTAGTACAATGTGGCATTCACACATTTTGAAGAAGGGTCCTGACTTGAAACGTCAGCTTTCCTGCTCCTCTGATGCTGCCTGGCCTGCTGTGTTCCTCCAGCTCCACACTGTGTTATCTCTGACTCCAGCATCGGCAATTCTTGCTATCTCACATTCTGTCCCTTCTTTTTATTTTCAGGTAACAATCAGCCCCATCCACTAAGCTGCAAACCTACCTTTTCCTTTTACCTTTTGGTTTAATCATTTTCCATCCACCTGAACACTCGCCCCACCCCCACTCCCAAACTTGCCCCACTTTTTAGTTCAAAGCCCTTCTACAGAATGTGATCTTTCTCACTGTGCAAATGTATCCAGTTGGACAAATTGTGTGCAAAACTCTGCTAGTCGGATATCTTCTTTGCATATACATATGTAAACACCGTATGTAGTTGTATTAAATAAATAAATAGGCAATTGAAGACACCTTGGGTGAAGTTCTTGTATTCCAACTTTATACAAATTCTACAACAGCAGATCATAATGACAGCTTTGGTGTAAAAATTGCTACACAGAAGTATTGCTAAACAACAAACTGCAGCTTCTATGTAGTAAAGCATCCCTGGTGTTCTCCAGGAGAGTTATCAAAGAAATTTGACACTGAGTCACATCAGGAGATACCAGGACATTAATCACAACTTAACTCAAGGAGTTAGGTTTTTCAGAACTGGCCTAAAGGAGGAGCAGGAGACCTAGAGACAGTTTTGGGGAAGGAAATCCTGAAGTTCAGGCTCAGACAGCTGAAGGCAGGGTATGCACAAGAGATCAATTTTATAGGAATGGAGAATTTTCACAAGCTCATAGAATGGAGGGGTTTACAGAGTTCGGGAAGGGAGAGACCATGGACAGCTTTGAAATGAAGAAGAATAGTTTTAAGATACAGGCCTTTCTGAAATTGAAACCAGTGTCAGCCAGCAAGCAGAGTTTCGGATGAACTTGAATTTAGAGGGAGTCCAAGTGAGATGCCATCCAGGAAATCATTGGAATAGTCATATGAATTCCTAGCCAGTTGGCTGCCAATTTTCATATCCATTGATGTTTCGATCATAGAGTCACAGAGCCGTACAGTGTAGAAACTGACCCTACGGTCCAACTTGTCCGTGACGACCAGATATTCTAAATTAATTTAGTGCAATTTTCCAGCATTTGGCCCATTTCTCTCTAAACCCTTCCTATTCATATACCCATCCAGGTGCCTTTTAAACGTTGTAATTGTACCAGCCTCCACCACTTCCTCTGGCAGCTTATTCCTTACACTCACCACCCTCTGAATGAAAAAGTTGCTTCTTCGGTCCCTTTTAAATCTTTCCCCTCTCACCTTAAACCTATGCCCTCTAGTTTTGGACTCCCCCAGCCTGGGGAAAAGACCTTGCCTATTTACCTTTTCCATGCCTCTCATGATTTTATAAACCTCAATAAGTTCACCCCTCAGCTTCAGACACTCCAGGGAAACTAGCCCCAGTCTATTCAGCCTCTCCCTTTAGTTCAAACCCTACAATCCCGGATCATCCAAGATGGAGGACAGGAAAGAATTGTGCGGTAGGAAGTGCTCCTTTTTGAGGTAATTTTAATCATCAAAGACCAATTTCATCCTTCTCAAGAGATACTGACCATCTTTGTTTTGTCCTGCCCTTTGTATTCAAATTGATGTGCTTTCTTTCTGTTTAAGTGCTTTTTAAAAGTAGTTCTTTTGACAAGGACCTCAAATACACTGCTTTCATTCTTAAAACAAATTTCATTTTGCATTCTTTCCTTTTCTAGCTTTGGAATATGAAAATCTTGACACCTCACTAGCGACTGAGAAATCCTGGGTTGTTACAGGTTTGTTAATCATATCACATGAAATACTTCTATGAAAACACTTGTTAACATTGTCTAAATTATTGTTGTTGCACCATTGTTGTTGCCTTGATCTTGTTAAGGAGTTAACTGCATTTCCAATGATTCTGTGCCTCCACTAATGTTGTGTTCAACCTAAACATCCTAGAGGGGTTTTCATTGCTCAGAACATCATTCATCAGCCATTTCTAGTCAGGTACAAATAATCTAGAGCCTAAAATTAGAATCCTCAGCAATTTAGTGTCAAAGAAGTTCATTTTTCTTGTTAAGACACGGTTTGTCAGTTTTCACAAGAAATAAGCTGGAACATTTAGGCCAGTATCCCTCAGGGAAAACTAATATTGTAAAATCTATTGAGTGAATTGTTTAAGTCAGGACTTTTTTTTAAAGAGTTGCTGAAGATTTACAGAGAATGATGACAATTATCTTAATTGTTGTTTGTTTATTCATAGAGTGTGAGCATTGCTGGCAAGGCCAGCATTTCCTGCTATCCCTGGTGGTGAACTGCATCTTAAGCGGTTTGTCAGACTATTTGAGAGCCAGCGCATGGAGACCCAGATATCCTTCACTGAAGGGATGTTATGACCTAGATGAGTTTTTACAATAATCCAGTAGTTCAATGGCCACTATTACTGATAGCAGCTTTCTGTTCCAGAATTATTTCCTTCAAATTCCTAGCTGCCATTGTGGAATTTGAACTCCGTCTCTGGTCCTTCCTAAAAGAAAACCATTGCGCTACCATACCCTATTGATTAGATGTAAGCGATGTTGGCAAAGTCAACATTTATTGCCCTTCCCGAGTTGCTCTGAAAAGCTTTTTGACATACTAATTGTTTTTATAAGTGTGTGCTAGGATCTTCAACAGCATTCAAAGTTAAATGTGTGGTACAAGACTAGAGTTAGGTAGACCAACTAGAGTTAGCAGCTTTCCTAGGTGAACTGAGCAGGTATTGACAATAATCTGGCTTTCCTGTACCAGATTTATTTTATTTAATTTCAGTTTCTGACAGGATGACTTAAAATTATAACCTTTGAACTACGTCCCCAGTATCTTAATTGCCAGGGGCACTGCTGAACAAAAGAAATGCTAGCCTCTGCTGGGCTTCCTGCCCCCCAAGGCCCTGATCGCAAAGAATATTCACCAGTGACCTCTGGACTGCTTTATCAGCTCATAACATGACTGGCATTCCCAAAATGGAGCAGTCCAGGTCTCTCATTGCTTTCCAGTTGGTGCCAGAAACTGCCAAGCTTCCATAAAGTTCCCTGTTATTGGATCTATGTCAAGGCCACAAAGAGATTCTAAGGATAAGATTCTTTCAGTTATGAGAAAAAGACCAGAGAAATTGCAGCTCTCTTCTTGGAAGCAAATAAGGGAAGAAATCTGTTAAAGGGATTAACATTTAAGAACGATATTGATAAAGATCTTTGCAGAATTTTGGAGCACCAGTAAGTAGAGGCAGGGGTCATGAGAATATGTTATTTACATAGTTTGTGAATCACTGTCCAAAAACAGTGCGGCATTAAGACTTCAAAATAGCTTCTAAAAGGAAATTAAATACATACTTAAAATTCTCTGGAAAAAGCTTGAGGAAATAGAACTAAGTGGATCACACTTTGAAAGAGATAGCACAGACACAATGGGCTGGATGGTCTCCTGCTAATCTGCAACACTTGTTGGCACCAGCTTGCTTAGTTTACCCAAACAGCACTGATTTGAAAATATTTCTTCACACACATTATAACTGTACAACAGTTGATACAATGAAAAAGAAGTAAAAAATTTTTGCTGTTCTGGCAAAATTTCCCATTTCCGGAATAAATAAACTCACCACGCCGACTGGGCAGTCCATGCAGAAAAGTTAGATCACTTAGCACCTGACTTGCTATTACTGCTTCATAATCTGCTCTGCCTCCTGTTTTCAAACAGTTATCCTGGGTGTTGACAATACCTCTCTGGGTGAGCAGTATCAACGTTTTGCGAGCCTGATGGAGCAGAGGTTAGCGAACCTGTTCATGGCAGCTCAGCAACAAGGGCGAAGGTTTAAACGGGCTTCTACAAAGGGCAGCTACACTGTACAGGTCAGGCACAATCAATTCTTTTTTTGAGAGGTTTGCAAACTGCAAAAGGTTGTTTTTCCAGATTTGAAAGATGGTGAATGGAGCTATCTTGACACAAAAATGTTCCATAATCAATTTTTTTTTTTAATCACCTGCTGTTTTACAGACAGGCGCAATAGCCAATTTGCACACCTGGTCCCATGAAGAGAAAGGAGGATGTTTGTCTATATAGCATTGTCATAATCCCAAAGACATCCCAAAGTACTGTACAATGACTGAAATAAGTTTGAGTAGTAGTCTTTGTTTGAATGTGTGAACCACAGCAGCTAATTTGTACATAAAAGATCTTATAATCAGCAGTGAAATAATGGAAAAATATATTTTGGTGACACTGGTTAAAGGATTAATATTGCTCAAGATGCCATCCCTGAACTTAGAAATAGCAGAATGGAATCTTGTACACTCTCCGCGGAGGACAGACACATATCGGTCTAATGTTTCATTCCAAAGATGGGCCCTTTTGACTTTGCAGTGTTTCCACTGGGAAGCCACCTTAAGGCTCTGAAATGGGACTTGAAGCCATGACGTCCAGCCTCAGAAGCTCAGAGAGTGCTACCAATCGAGCTATGCCTAACACCTACTTAAGACAATATTAAGATCAATTAGATAAATGAATAATTAATCAATTGCGGTGGCCAAGGAATATGTTTTGCAGGGAGAATGATTGATTGATTTCAGGTAGAGTTGTGGTTGCATCCATCAGAGTTAGCAGACAGGGTCTTAGTTTCACAGCACCTTAGACAATGCTGTGCACCTTCACTGTGCACATTCAGGAGCGTTGTAATTTATTACAAAAGGAGTGGAATATAGAAGTAGGGATGTTTTACTACTGTAATGTAAATTTGATGGAGCCACATCTGAAGTTCTGCGATTACTTTTCATCTCCTTGAAGGATGGAAATGCATGTGAAGCAGTTTAGGGAGGTTTATTTGACCAATATCAGGGATGAGGGGGTTATTTTCTGTGCAAACATTGGACAGTCTGGGCCTGGATCAATTGAAGTTTAGAAGAATGAGAGTTAATCTTATTGAAATATATAACAACATGGGCAACTTGACAGGATGGATGCTGGCAGGATGTTTTCTCCCTGTGGGACAGACCAGAAGACAGTTTAAAATTGATGGTGTGCCATTTAAGATGGAGGTGAGATTTTGGAATTCTCCTCCTCCAGAGAGCTGTGGAATTGAGGTCATTGAATACCTTTAAGCTGAAGGTAGGGAGATTCTTGTCCAACGAGGAAATTGAGAGGTTCTCTGGAGTGGAGTGGGTTGGAATGTGGATTTGAGGTCACAATCCGATCAGTCATAATTTTATTGAATAACAGGGCTACACTCGAGGGGCTGCTCCTTATTCGCATGTTCATGTGTGTTATAACAGACTATTTCCCAAAAATATTGTCTGTCATATCCTGGGCCGGATGAGGACCCATAACCTTCTGATGTGGAGGGGAGAGTGTTACCACCAAACTGGATGGACACTTCTAGTGCCATAGAGAGTAAAGGGGCATAGTTGACATTTGATGGGAGAGAAACTGAAACAGAAATCTAGCAGATGGAATATATGGCCCACGTTAACATCTACTGCCATCTCGGGCCTCTTGGAAATTGGTTTCAAGGACAGTTAGAGGAGTACAGCAAGTTGCTGTCCTGTGAGCCCAAATGTTTATTTCTCCCCTTGTCCCATGATTGACCTACTCAGTTGAGTGGAGGGGCATTGGATGGCAGAGTTGCCCTTCAGAGACACGTGCCCTCATGGCATACACAAGGTAGCATATGTTGCTTCTGAATCAGAAAGTCATAGGCTCAAGTCCCAGTTGCAGACTTGGATACACACTGTGTGTGGTAATTTTAAGGGAGGAGAGCAATATCCAGGAAACCCAAATCCAGCCCCAGTTTACTGACTGAGGGTATGTGGCTAAAACCTCCTGCTGCCACATTCCCACTCATGCCTTCTGGGGGGCAGGCAGTGCTACTGGCCTAGATCAGGCACACATTTGAAGCCATTGATTGGCATTCCTCCTGTTTACTTTGTCGTATTGATTTACTTTTCTCAATGTAGCAACATCTGCGTACAATTGTGAAGAGGCCAATCAAATTAATGGTTTATTTTCTGACTGGAAATGTAATTTACTTCTTTTGATCTCACTCCTTTCATAACCATTGGCGGTGCGAGCTGTCACCATCCGTTAGAGCAATAAACAAGCACATTCTTGAATCCTGCTGAGAGAAACTTGGCCACTTTTTCTGTGCAGATGCCAAACCATTTTTGTTTCTTTTGTATCTATTTTCCAAACTTAATTCTGCTTAACTACTTGTGAAACTGTTTCTTAATACTTCCTATAGAATTTGATTCCACCATCTATTCAAGCAGTGTGTTCCAGATCTATGTGAAAATACCTCTAATTTTTTTTCTTGTTCTGTCCTCATTTTCTGTAACTTCATAGCCATAAGACCATAAGAAATAGGTAGTTACTGACCAACTTACCAGAGGAAGCAGTTTCTCCTGACTTGCTGTATCAAACCAGTTCATCATTTTCAACACCTTTATTAAATCTCCCATTGTTCTTTTTCTGCCTAAGAGTGAACAACCACAGTTCTCCAGTCTTTCCACGTAACTAGATGCTGCGCATTCCTCATATCCATCTGATAAATCTCCTCTGCACCCTCTCCAAGGTCTTTGCATCCTTCCTAAAGTGTGGTGGCTAGAATGGGACACAATATTCCATCCAAAGACAGACCAATGATTTCTAAAGGCGTAGCATAACTTTGTTGCTTTTGCATTCTCTTTATAAAGCCCTGGATTCCATATGCTTTTTAACAAAATTGTTACCGCCGCTTTCAAAACTCTCTGTATATAGAAAGTAAACTACAGATGACGAGAAATCACACAAAATATAGAGCGTCATTAAGTCACCTACATGATCAACATAGCCCACAAAGTGATGCACACAGAAACAAGCCATCAGCCAATTGTTCTTTGTCAGTGTTTATGCTCTATGCAGATCTTTTCCTTATCTTCTCAACATGTCCATTTGTTCCTTTCTCCTTCACTTGTTTTTCCAGCCTTTCCTTAAATGCATCTCTGCTATTTGTCTGTACTCCACATGGTATTCAGTTTCATATTCACTCAAAGTGCTTTCAAAAACCTCTCTAAGTAAAGCAGTATGCCCTAAAATTGTGATCGGATTTATCATTGACTGACGTTTGATGATGGCTTTGCTTTTATTTCTTTCTGCAGTTGGTCAGCATTAAACGCCTTCCTGGTCCTAAGAATCCAGCCGAATTGACGTACTATGCCTTGGAGAATGGTGGGGCCTTGCTGGGTACAACTGCAGCCAAAATACTTAATACAGTTGATTCTCAGACCATGGCCTTGGAGTTAGGCTATCGCGTGCAACTCCAAGCAGAACGTAAGCAGAGCCTATTATTTCCTCAGAGAGGAGAGTGGAGAGGTAGCAGAAGATAGGTTCTGATTAGGACTAGATAATATAGATCAAAAACTGGAGCTAGACTTTCCAATTTGCAGACTTCACTACAGTTGTAAACTTTGAATTTATAGTGTGTGAAATGTTTTACTCAATGATTTGTCTAAAAGCAAGCTGTTACTGAGAGCAATTTAGCATTTCGTAGAGATACATCCAATCAATCCCTTAAAACGTAGTATGTTCTTGCAGAGGGCTTGCATTGTCACAAATAGTCAAATAGCCTCTTTCTATTGAGGAAACTTTGCTCTGTAGTCAGTTAGGTGATCTAAGAGAACAGAACATTTTTAAGTTCTCTCTCCAGTTAAAGAATGGCCACATTGGTGAGGAATTAGGAAGTAAAAGGATCTAGTGGAGCTGACTCCAAACCAGGAGTCTCTGTATGACGAAGGATGGCAAGGGTATTACAAAGATCTCCCAGCACTAGTTAGAGAAGAGGAGGGGAACTCAGTACAATGCACTGAAAAATATTTGTCTCAATCAGTAGCACAAAACTAGATGACCTGGTCATTTATCATGTTGCTGCTTGTAAACCCCTGCTCTGTTGGCTATACCTTTTCCTACTTTACAATAGTACAAACCTTATAAAATGCTTTATTGGCCATGGAGTGCTGTGGGCTCTTTTGAGATTGTGAAAAGTGCTCTATTAATGTGCACACTAACTTACTTTTTTTATTTTGGATCAGGCACTGCCACAGTGGAGTTTAGACACCACGGAAAATTCTCACTAGGACTGTACCAAGAATTAGGAAAAAACAATATTGTGTGGGTGCGAAACTGGCTTTTTGTCTGATTTCCTAGGCTTTCCTGGATAGTTAGTTTTCTAAAAAGTTACACTACTCACCCCGAAGGGACTGAATAACATTTATAGCAATATTGAGGTTTGTGTTGTTGGAGGCAATTATTTTTAATCTTCTTGTTCTTTGTGCAGCTGTTGTGAAAAGTCCACCAAACAACTTGTGGATTATTGCTGCAGTGTTGGCTCCTGTTGGTGTGGTAACCATTATCATCATCATTATTTCCGCTGTACTGTGCCGGAAAAACAAGGGCGAGTTTAAATCTGAGACTATGTCAAATCTTCACCAGAGAGCAAAGGTGAGCACCAGTTCAGGCTCATGGGATTGACGCTGACTAACTCATTCCCCTTAAACTCTGCATTAATTTGCAAATTAAAATGGGAAAAAAATGAAAATACTGCAGAGAGAGAAACCTTTAATGTTTAACACTGGTTTTTTTACCAGAACTCAGAAAAGTTAAAGATTTAACAGTATGTAGCAAGAGCAGGGCTGTGATTGACAGAACAAAAAGAAAGGTGATGTGGTGAAAAACAGAAGTTAAATGACAAAAGTAAATAAAGAAAAGATGCAGTGTGTTAATGGATTCTAAGCCGTTTGGAGAGATTGATTTCAAGATACATCTAACTTCTTTGGTTGAGGAGAAAGTTTATTGAATTCCTCAATCTTACGCCTGTCATTCCACACCCAGCTTTACTGGTGTTGCTATAGATATTTTCTAATCAACCAGACGAAGGGACCCTACCACTACACCACAAAGGCCCTCCTGACAGATATAAAGTAATTTGAATTATTTATAAACTGTGCTTAATGAAATGCCACTGCTTGTTTCTTCTTAATCTTAAATAACAACATTAAAGTTGACAATGTAATTGACCAGACATTAACTCAGATAGTGAAAAAAGCAATAGCAGAATAGAAGAAAGGCAGGAAAATGAGGCAAAGAAGAGATTTCTGCAACATGGGAAGGTGACGAAGAAAAATGCAGAACTCTCAGAATGTAAATCACTTTGTTGGTTGTGAAGTTATAGGAAAATCCCTACTAACCCAAAGCATCAGATCACACTTCCTTCGTTCTATATGACTCTCATGCAACCATCTATCTCCAGTAGCTACTATCCAAGGAAATGAGAACAGTAATTAAGATATAAAGTTATAAATCACATTGTTAAGGGCAAAGGGTTATAAGGAATGATGAGATGCTGTTTCTTGAGCTTGTGTGAGTTTCATTAGCGTTTGAGGCTCGAGATGGAGGTTAGTAGCAGAGACTTGCACCATATAGCACATTTTATGCAGTGAAATGCCCCTAACCCTTATGAGAAAAACATCAAGTAAAAAAAGGACACTGAGGCCCTTAGGGAGATACTTGGACAGATGATTAAAAGCTTGGTAAAAGAGGTAAGTTTCAGTGAAACTCCTTCAGCAGGAGAAAGAAATGAAGAGGTTTAAAGAGGGAATTTGCTAAAAGGATAGCCACCAATGATGGAAAGATTAAAATCAGTGATTCTCAAGAGATCTGAATTGAAAGAGCCTGGAAGTCTGAGATAGCTATGGATGTAGAAGTATTACAGATAATGAGGGGATGAGGCTATGAAGGGATATGAAAACAAGGGTGAGAATTTTGCTTGATTCATGCCAGTCCGATATGAACTAAAGAACACAGTGGTGACGGGTGACCAGGATTTGATGTGTGTTATGATAGAGGCAGCAGAGTTTTTGATGGACCGTGGGAGACCAGCCAGGGGAGCATTAGAATAGTTGAGTCTAGAGACAACAAAGATCTTTGTGAGAGTTTCTGCAGCAGATGAGCTGAGGCAGAGGCAGACTCAGGCAGTATTATGGAAGTGAAAATACAGGGTCATAATGATGGCACAGATATTTGCCCAGAAACTCATTGTAGATTCAGATATTATGCCAAGTTTATGAGCAGTCTAGTTCCACCTCATCCAGTTGCCAAGGAGAGGGAAATTCATCCCTCGTTGTGCATTATTGTTAAATTGCAGTGTGATAATTAATTGATTTTGTATTATATTGCAAGTCTCTTGCCACCACTTGCATCTGTTACCAGATTTGGACTTCATTCGTAGTGCGGAACGCAGGTAGTATATTGTCAGTAAGTTATTGTCTGCCACCCTTTGTGAAAGAGTTGTACTTTAAGCAACTGACTGCCAAGTAAGTGTAAAATTTCAGGAGTAAACATCTGATGAGGTCACCAAAACTCCTCAGGCAACCTACACAGTTACTGCTTTCAAGAATGATCTTGGTTTTACTCTGCCTCTTTTTTTGCTTTGATCAGATTTATTTTACTGTGAAAGGGCTAGAAAAGAAGGAAAGGCTGACATTTATATGGAAACTTATACATTCTCAGTGAACTTGAAATATTTTGCCTGCATTAGATCACTATTTTAAGTATAATCACTGCTATTAAATCATGAACTCAGCAACAAACTCATGCAATTAATGTATAAACAGCGTGATATAAACTGATTTTATATATGTATATACTTAGCATTGGTTTGAGGTATAATGTGGGCTTTCTGTGTGTCTGAAGTTAATGGTTAACTTGGAAACTTTTCTGTAGCGGTAGTGATTTCTTTTAATACAGTATTTGAGGTCTGGCTTGAGAATTCTTTTTTTTGGTACATTGGTAGGGTTTTTGTGACCAAACAACACAAACAGGCTCCAATTTAGAAACTCAGGAGTGTTTGTTTTTTAAGCTTCATGGAAGCATCCGTATCTTAGAGAGGCTTTTTATTAGCTTTTTTGTGTTCAGCAGTCCTGTTTATAGACCGGTCCACCCAAGAAGGGAAGGATTGTGAAATTAGATTATCTAAGAATAAAGAATTAGTATTAGTCCTGTACCAGAAGTGTTGTGATAAAACCTTGAGGAGATTACTTAAAACTGATTACTATTTAAGTTCAGCTAAATAAAGAAGAAATCTGGAGTTCCAGTTTATAACTTAAAGTTACAAATGATTTAAACCTATCAAGGTGTTAGAAACAAGGACTCTTGTGTTAGAACTGAATGCATGGTATTTTTGAGTACTGTATATATTGTGTTTTTTGAGTACTGTACTAGGGTATCTGTTTTGGGTAGTACAGAAAAGCTGTTGTTTTTAAATTTATCAGAGTATTTTGGGATGAATGGAAGTATACTTGTACTTTGTGTTTAAAAATCTTTGAATTTGGAGTATAAGTAAACAGTCTAGATTATTCTATTTTATCTTCATTTCTGTTGTTAATGAGCTTCTGTTTTATGGTAGCAAAATCTGCAGCATTTTGTGCTTATGCTCCAGTGAGAGACCACTGAATTAATATCAAAATAAAGCAAACTTTGATCTAACAAGTCAGATTTCAGTCTGGTACCTAACTTGTCCAATAAGAACATCAGCTGGGATCATAACAGTGATGTGGTAACAGTCAGATGATCTGCTTTAGTGATGTGGATTTAACGATAAAAATGAGGACAATAGAGATGCTCCGTGTTTTTCTTTGAAATGATGCAGTGGCACCTTATAGTGATGTTGGTGAGGCAAGTGGAATGACTGTTAGAATGTGGGACTGGACTTAAATCTGCAGTGGGACATGATCTCCTAAACTGTTTGATTCAGAAATGAGAGTGCTATTCACTTGACATTGGCTGACATTTTGATAGCAAGTGGCTGACTGTAAGCAAATGGTTTCAAACAGACAGATTTTGTTAGCTGAATATAACAATGAGGGTGAACCATATATAATTCTTCTGAATGCCTTGCGAGTTTGCTCTGCATGATAATGGATTTGGATCTTTCCAGACTGTGAAAAATGCCCTCAGGGTTAACTGTTGTGGGAGTTTCAGACTATTAATTTTCCTGAGCCAGTTAACATCTCATAGAGGCAATGGCTAAATTAGATGTAAATAAATGGAAAAAAAAAGTGACCATGACATTCCACCTGGCATGAACGCTTTTTCTAAAAAAAAATCCCCAACAGTGAAAAAGCATGGCCAAAATAATGCATAGACTTGATAACAGAATATCACTTATTTTCAAGCTATGCATAGTTTAGAATCCAGGAACAGAATGAGTGGGATAACAAGGTGCAGAGCTGGATGAACACAGCAGGCCAAGCAGC